AAATCCAAGTGAGTGGTGCTTTGTGACTGTTACAGCTGTCCTGAGTTATAAGTCAAAACATCAAAGGACACAAACGAGTGTCTCATAATTAACACTGTGGGTCTACTGACAGCCACTGCAAAGTCTTTGGTCACATGTGCGATTCTCCATGGACTGTGTCAGCCTCTCATTATGCTGCTGAGAAGTTTGATCTAATGGAGTCTTCTCGTAGCTGACGATGCTTCCCGGAGTCACATTCTTCGCCGTGTGTGCGACGCTCAATGGTAATTCTATAGTTTTTTCTGCACAAGAAGGATTCAAAATAAAGTAGAAAACAATGTCTTTCAGTATGTTTGTTTTTCCTCTACAATTTTTACTTTAATTCCTCTCTTTCACCATTAAATCCTACTCAGCAAAGTCATGGAGACCTCTGAAAGCAGAGCTAAAGTTAAAACGGTGTAACATGCAAAATAAATCAGGAAAATCTAATATGAAAGTCCTTCACTTGAGTGTTTGATGATGTGACTGCTGATAAACTCTGAAGTTTTCATTTCTTCCTAATTTCAGTAAGTAAACCAGTTTTGAGTCAGTAAGGTTTAATTTGAGATATAATTCCTGAAGTGTTTTTATCCAAGGCAAAATTACACCAGAACACGCCACTGTCCAGAAGAGCCGACTAAATAGTTTTTTACCTGAAAAAGTAGAACGTTACGAGGATCACGGCCCCCAGAACAGCTCCGACTATGACTCCAGTCAAAGCTGACACTCCTAGTCCACCTGTTTGTACGAGCACTCATTAGTGAAAACAAACACTGCACCAAAAATATTGTTCATCAGTGTCACACGTGTCATTAACATACATTTACAGGGTGTGTCTGATTTATCGGTTTTCTCAGGGTGGTCTTTATCCCCTCCTTTCAGAGTGAAATGCTCAGTGTTGAATGCTGGCAACAGCTGAAAAGTTCCATTTACACCAAAGTAATTGGCCACCACCTGTAAATGAGTCAAATTGTTGTTGTTATTAAGCTGCACAACACATTCCCAATACGAAGCCTGTTAGAGATCTTGGAGCTTCTTCTTACCTCATAGGTTCCTGCTTCAACATTTATCATGGTCATCAAAGAGAAATCTCCATTTCTGTCACCATTGGCATCTATGGACACTTGGCCAGCAATTCCTGCAACCCATTATGAAGCAGCATTATTTGACCACAATCCCAGAAATGTAGAGGGAAAGATACCTCACTACCTCACAGTGCATGAAAAGGTTTTTGTTTTGTTTTCCTTTTTGTCACGTTTATGTCTTTCAGATCACAAAATAAATTGTAGCACTAAACAAAGATAACGATTTTAAATAATCTCCCCAGGAGTGACTAACCTACCAAAATTATTCCAAAGTGCATCGGCATCTCCTCCAGGAGGTCACAAAAGAGCCTAGAACAACATCTAAGGAACTGCAGGCCAGGTCAGAGTTCATTATTCAACAGAACACAGAGCAAAAATGGCATCCATGGGAGAGCTCCAAGGAGAAACCAAAAACAACACAAAGGCTCATCTCACCAACA